TCGGCTGCAAGCGGTTCCTTTCCACTTTGGAAGCTCTTTGATTCTTTGTCTTTTTGAGTGGAACACTGCTCACCCTGCTCACGTTTTGGGTGGATAAGATCCAAACAGTTTTAACCGCAACCCCTCCGCGGTGCAGTTGGTGAAAACGGGCTAGATGACAGCAGGCGTCTCATACGGCCAGAACGAACCTAGGATCTCCCAAGAGCACACAACTGCAGAACAGATTCCTTCACAGCAAGATGCCAAGCAACTGGGCGCGGGCTTCCCGCGCTGCTGCGGCCGGTTCTTCCTTCCCCAGGCCCTCGTTCTTTGCCTTCGCCCATGCTTTCGAATAGACCTCGGTGAGACTGCTTCAATTAAAACAGAACATGTTCTACAAGCAAACTGACACTCAGTTCTTTCAGGACTCCAGACAGTCCAATTTCACTAAGATACACAGTGACAGTTTCTTGAAATTCATTCTTCTCCTTTCTGCCGGATGCCGGCTTCTTCTTTGCAGCGCCATTCCTGTTCCTCTTGCGTGGGCTCTTTGAAACCTTTTCTTTCCCCTTCACGCTTGCCTTGACATGCAGATTTTGGCTTTGCCTTTGCCAAAGGGGCAGGCAGATCCTTGGATTACAGCACGAGCCACCTGCAAACCACTAGACGGAGAAACCAAGAGCAGCAGGGACGAGCGTTTGTGGTTTGTATGCTTTCCAGCTTCAGTCAAGGGGCTGGGTCTGATTCACCCATGTGATCCTGTCATGCCAAGTTGATAAGTAGTAGGATGGTGTTGGATGTACTGATCTGTTGATGGAGACCGTGCCCTGAATGCCTCACCTTTGAAGCGTTTTGCGACCTGCACTGGCCCTCAGAAACGTATTATGAATGTCTTGTTGCAAGCTAGCATTCAATATGTTCTGCCTTCTCACGAGATTTTGGAGGCTTTGCTTGATTTCAGGTACATATAATATGGTAAAAAAACTTGCACTAAATAGTGTATAGAGTAATACCAATGGCCACACGTGCCTTGCGCAGGTCAACATAATACCTATTTGGTGTCGCGAATGTTTGACATGTCTGCCTGTCAGGTTCTGGATCGGGTTTTGGATATTGCACGGATCAATTCCGGGCTTCTTTCGGGTACCGATTGCACGAGGAAAACATGCAGACATCGAAAAAAGTATCCCGGCAGGAGACACCAAACAGTGTGTGAGGTCTATAAGCAGAAAGTTTAGAGATCTAGACGCATTGGGGTCCATAGAGGTGATGGTGGGTGGGTGAGTGAGTGGGTGGGTGGGTGAGTGAGTGAGTGTGATCGCGTGAGAGTGAGTGAAAGTGCGAGTGAGAGTGAGAGCGAGAGTGGGTGAGTGCGAGAGTGAGAGTGAGAGTGAGGAGTGTGGGTGTGAACGTGTGTGAGTGAGTGAGAGTGAGAGTGAGGGAGTGAGAGAGCACAAAGTGCTGTGCCTGCTACGAAATCTTCACATCGAGGTTCACCAAGTGCTGTGTCTACAACGAAATCTGCGCACCGAGGTTCACCAAGCGCTGTGCCTGCCACGAAATCTGCGCATCGAGGTTCACCAAGTGCTGTACCTGCCACGAAATCTACACTTCGATGTTCACCAAGTGCTGCGCCTGCCACGAAATCTGCGCTTCGAGGCTCACAAAGTGCTGTGCCTGTCACGAAATCTGCGCATCGAGGTCCACAAAGTGCTGCGCCTGTCACGATCTCTGCTCGTCGAGGTTCACCAAGTGCTGTGCCTGCCACACGAAATCTACACTACACTTTGAGGTTCACCAAGTGCTGTATCTGCCACGAAATCTGCGCTTCGAGGTTCACCAAGTGCTGTGCACACCTACTCTTCTACTGCCGTAAGAACCCCTCAGTGTGCCCACACTGTTTGGGGAAATATAGGGCCGGATAACCCCCACATGTTCACAACTTCACCAGACACAGGAGCGGACAATTGGTGGTTGACCCTGACCTCCACGGTCTACCGCCTCTGGTGCAAATTGCGAACAGACCTGCTGGACCAGTGGCAACTTCATCTACCTTCCAGCATGGACTATGACCGTGCTCGACCAGGCGCCCATGTCCTCCACGTGGCGCTACCACCACGGCCCAAGAGCTCAATTACCCTTGCAGCTCTACACTGGGCCCAAAGCCATACAGGCGGAAGCTGAACTCTCCGAGGTCTTCTACATGCAGAGCGGGGTAGCTGCTGGATGCCCACAAGCTCCACTTCTGGCCAAGTCCATTGTGGCTACGACTTGGAGGACAACAACCCAGAGCAGGCAGCTCACCTGGCTGTAGAGGCATGGCGAGACCTCAAAACAAGGCTCGATCAACTCGGCCTCCAAGAAGACAGCTTTCATTACCACCGACCAGCGCACTTCCAAGGCGCTCAAGAGCAGGCTGGGACCGGAGGATCCGCCCATTGCACCGGTCATGCGCAATCTTGGTATTGACCATCAAGCGGGTCGGTTCAGAAGAATCCCAGTCCTCAAGAACAGGTACAAGAAGGCAAAGCAGCAAAGAATCAAGCTCAGATCTCTGAGACTGCCCAGTCTGAGCAATCGTCTACGGCTGTACAAAGGGGGACCCAATCGGTGGCAATGTGGGAAGCTCAAGGCCTTGCTCCGCGCTATAGAACCTCTCCGGCAAGCGCTTGGCGCCCAACTTGGACACCACAAAGGAGGCTCGTTATCTTCATGCCAAGAGGTACCAGGACCCAGCAGACCAGATCATCATCAGCCACGTCAAAGCCTTCAAAGACCTCCTTGATGCCTGGCCACAAGAGCAACGAAGCCATGTCACTCAGGCATGGAATAGCCTTCAACAACATCCACACCGACAGAAGCATCCCTGGTACCAAGTCAAAGGGCCTATGGCTGCAGTCATCGTCTACACGTGGGAATGGCAATGGCAGCTCACGGAACCACAAAGCAGCCTGCCAACGCCTCTGGCGTCTCCGCCAACGTAAACACTGCCAGCGTTTAAGGAATGGGCTGGACTGGCATGTATAACACAAGCTTCAGCGCAAAGCACCACAAGCACAGGCCACGGCATTAAAGACATGGGTACAAGGGGCCACCCGATACACCAGCCCGGGGATGACGCATGCCTCTTAGCCAAGTCCCAGCCGCGTCCAAGCACATCATCTGGCTGTGCAAATGGCACCACGCCCGCGGCCATCTCGCTTCGAGGGCATGGCCTCTGGCAGCAGTTGGAAGCCATTGAACTGCCTGCACATAAAGGCTATGTGGTGACCATCGACGCCGCTCCCACGACATACGACACCAGATCCCAAGGATGGGTGTTCGCTGTTTGCCTCCACACACTCAGTCTGGGCCAGATCCAAAGGATTGCTGCCATTACTGGCCTTCCACCAGGCAAACAGAGCAAAACCAGAGCTTTGTACTATGGCACGCACGTCTTGGCGCAGCACATCACCCTTGGCGTCAAGCTGGTTATCCCGTCCGTTGCTGTCTGGGATGCTTGGACGGGAGCCAAAAGGCAACGCCCCTACCAGGACATCGATGCTCTGCACGACCATGCGAACAAGCAGAAGGTCACGGCTTTGTATGTGAGTGCCCAAGCACGAACTCCAGACCAACCCGGAGCAGAACCTCACCTGCGCAGGCGGCAAAGGGATGCAGGCCTAACAGCATGGGAGCGGGCAAAAGAGCTTTATGACAAGTCCAAGGACGAATGGCAACAGGCGCTCGATGAGGATCACCAGCAGGTCTACCAGCGCGCAATTGAGCGTATTTGTGCCATCTACAAAGATCCGGCTCACTTCATTCACGACAAGCCCAAGCGATCACAGGCCACCAACACCAAGCAGTACAAGAAGCGGTTGGTAAACAACTGCACCGGTCCACCCACTGAGGGAGGCCACCATTGGACCAAACACCGGAGTGGCTACCAGTGTGCTCACTGCAGCGCCCGTATCCATCAAGGCCTATAGCGGTTGCCACAATCGAGCAGAAGCTGGCGGAGCCATGTGAAGGAAAGCACAACCTTCCTCCGGGAGAGCCTGAGCATGAGAATCCAGACCACAAGATTCCCAAGAAGGCCACAAGAACCCAGCTCATTCAAGAACTGCTCGCAAATCAGCCTCAGGAAAGACAGGAGGGCAAATATTGGTTCATCGAAACTGCGGGCTACATCAAGTGCCAGCATTGCGGATGTGCCACCCTTAAGAGATCTAAGGAAGCTACCTGGACGGACTTTATCAACAGTCCGTGCATCGATGAGGCCTACAAAGGGGAAGCAATTGGGCACTCCACCCACTCCCTGTGGCAGCTTGGCTCCAAAGTCACACGCAAGCACTGTGGCTTAGCTGTCCTGACGGACAAAGACAACAGGCTCATCATCACACAGGCCCTCAGGAAAGCTTGCAAGGGCGCACCAGTCAAGAAAAGCACTGGCTTGAGGACTTACTTTCCCACACAGCTCTCCACTAGCACGGCCACACCTGAATGTGACCACACTCGCAGCCAGCAGCCGAGCAGGCACACAGAGCCGTCGACCACACCAGGCGACCTCCAGCCTCGAGCCCTCTTCTCTGAGGTTGCAACTGGCCGCGCCGAACCAGAGTAGCAACAAGACTCATCAGCACAGCCAGATGAGGCCATGAAACCCAGCCCAAGCCTGGCTGAAACAGAAGGCACTTCAACGACAGAGAGTCCCGACGAGTTCTTCAACGTGGACTTCTTCGAGTGCCGCTGCTGCCGTAGCTCCACGGTCAAAATGACCCAGGTCAAAAGACCTCTCGTGCACACGCTGAAAAGTCCACCCTTAAAAAAACATACATACATACATACATACATACATACGTACATACATACATACATACATACATACATTCTCAGTTTTATTTCGCGCATTGCGTGACTGCCGACGAGTTTGTTTACACGTTTTTGTCTGTCGGATGCCTTAAGCGTTGTGTCACGGCCTTCAACCAGCGCCATGGCCGAACGATCGCGCCATCCGACCTTGTTGTGAACAACTTCAGGCGACCCTGTGCCTGAGACAGTGTCAGGTGCTCAGTTGGTGAAACGATGCGTGTGCTGGATGAATGGAAGCGGGGTGATGATTCATGCTTGATCAAATCAGCACGTGGCCATTGAGAGGGCAGGTTGATAGTATTGTGGCATTTTCCGTGGCCATCTCCTCAAACAGTCGGGTCTGTCGGTTGAATCATCACATACAGTGGAACCGCAATGAAGCACATGCCAATTTTGTGCTTGAGAAGGGCCGAAGAGATTTGCCTTCCAACCTGGTGTGCAAGAAAAGCAACTGTTCCAGAGTCCAGGCAGGCATTACTACTAGTAACAAGAAGCTCAGAGAGTATGGCCATCAAGGCCATGGACGCAGCAGTACTCGCGATGACGCACCTACTCGCCAGGCTTTGGGCAGGTGGAGTTACAGCTGCCGAGGTGGGAATTTCGCAGCCGAGGATCCATAGGTTTCGAGCCCCCTGGCTCATGAGACATAGGGTTTAGCTAGCAATAAGCAAGCGTCACTTTTACATGCCAGTTCATCTACCACTGAAATTGGTGGCTGCTTCCGGTATCTTGGAGAGACTTCTGAAAAAAGGACCAAGCTGGGCGGTGGCCTCCAGGTATGGCTCGAACGCTACGACCTCAAACCTGGACCGGCTCCAAGTGCGTTTTTCTTTTTTTTGCCACATTGCTTTGGAACCAATGCAGATTCAATGTGGACTTGGCTACGATTTCTCTCACCTCATCTCTCTTGTGCCCTGCTAGTTTTGCTGCTTCACGTTTGAATTATACCTGCAGCGTGTCATGTTCTGTGAGACCTTGGTGCAAACTCTTCCCAGGTCTGATTGCTCCAACCTCTTTGTACTTGAGGGACGTGTCCCCTGTCACAGCCTGACCTGTGTCCTAGACCTATGATTGGTCAACAAATTATATACTGTATTCATTCCCTTGCCTGATTTATTCCACCCTGATGAACATAGTTCAGCTCGGGTTTACAGTATGTGGCCCACCTGGTTTGAAGACCTGAGGATTCTTCAGTTGGAGTCAATCCACATGCAATAGTGGATGGATCGATTTGATTGAGCTTACTGAAGCATGATGGATTCAATTGAAATGTAAACAATGTATGGAATTTGGCCATTCGCCAACAGTTGGCAAACTCACACGTGTTCATTTTGCATAGCGGGAGTGGGACCTGAACCATGCCAATCCGATGACAATACTCAATACTCGTGACAAATATCCCTTGATTTGTTCTTTTCAGATCTCCAAGATCGACTGAGGGCAGTGTGCTTGGGCCGCAGGGCAACTGCACCACGCTGAAGGATCTTCCAGATGGCGGGGGTCTCAGGATTGACAGGGTCCAGCTATCAGCCACCTCTGAGCTAGAGGGAACACGGTGGTAGCCCGTTCCAGGCCAAAGGCCATTGCAGAATTGGAGAGCCAACCCACTGGGGATCGACCTTCTCCGCCCCCATGGCCACGTGAGCAACGTGGCCCGCCTTCAACCACCTTGAGGCAGAGGATCTGCGCTGGCAAGGCCCTTAGCCTTAGGCCTTCCGGGAGGATCCTCAGCGGTGTTTTGCTAAGAGGGGGAGGTCTTCGGGTCTTCCAAAAACTGGCAAGGCATCGTTGCTTTCGAAGAAAAGCAAGCTTTTGGGTCTGTCAATTGTTCACCGTGGAATATCACTTTTTTCAGGTGCTGAAGAAATTGCCGAGTGATTGGTTACGAGGTTGATGTGCAAGCACATCACAGGAATTTGGACTGGCTGAAAGAATTTGCAAGTGGGGCAGGCATCTGATCGAGAAGCCATATGCTTTCCCCCAACGAAAGCAGCTCTCTCCCTGTTGGCGATGCAGCTCGCATCTTTCACCCGCTACAGCTCCGAGGTCATGCGGTCGTCGTCCAGCGCCGACTTCGAAGTGGAGCTGCGTCGGGTGTCGTCGACGTGGGACGAGAAGCAAATCGAGCTCGCGGACCCGGTGCGCCACTCGTGGGCGAGTGGCGCGGGAGAGCCCGCGGGGGTCTCCCCTGGGCGTGAGACTTGGTGTGGAGACTTGGTCAAAGAGCGAGAAAAGCCTGAAGTGACAAGGGTGAACAGATGCCCACCTGGAGACCTGGAGTGCCACTAGACACGACTATGAGACATGGAGGAAGAGATGGACGCCACTAGAAATAATGCTTAGTGAGCAACTGGCATGTGGGCATTGGGTAGGAGGTGATATGCCGTAGCAAGTATTGTGGTACTTGTCAGGTGCATAGAACATAGCGTGTGGAAAGAATGAACAGATGTTGGTACCATATCGGACAGGCCTGGTTGTCTCAGGTACTGTTCATCGCAGACTACAAGCCTTGTCTTGGAAAGTCCTGCTGGGATTCTCAGAGCCATTGGATCCTTGATTGGCTGGGCACCCAGCACTGTTTTGTTGCATTTTTTCCAGAGATGTGCGTTTAGATGCTCCCCATGAGTCAGCAGCACAACAGCCCTGGCCGGAAGGAGTAGATTCATGCCGGGTGTTGGCCATTAAAAGGTCACACCTGCGTATACAGTGACCTGTACGTGTTGTGGATTGTAAGAGCTCCTCAGCACAAGCCGCTCAAGTACCCTTGCAGAAGTCCAATCTCGGGCCACTGGGAATTGTGCCAAGGCGAATTCAGTATCAGCGTGAGCTTCACAAGCGCATCGATTGGACTCAAAGACCCAGACCCAGGTGGAAACTGGTACTTAAAGCATTTCTACATCTCGGCCTTTGCTGTGTGGGTTGGTTCTGTGGGGAGACATCCTTTTTGCAGGATCGCCGACTTTTGAGCTGTAAACACCTCAAAGCAATTTACTCAATCCAAGGTCTTGCATCTTTTCCTGCTGTGATCAAATCCAGCTTCGTGAGCCAGATGGTTTCTGCTTCGGTGCTCTTGCCCCACCACCACGAATTGCACAATTGAGTAACTATTTCAAGAGGTCTTGGTTGTTCGTCTTGTTGAGCACAACTGGAGGGATCACCTAAGAGACGAGATCCGGCACTGGTGACACCCACTTTTCATCACAACCGGCGACGACCGGTGCCGCTAACGGGCCAGGCTACAGCTCGGAGCCCAAGATCCGCTACCTGGCGGTGGCGATGCCAAGCGCCCCAGCGGGTGGAGAACAGCATCCACGCCGGTCCGTTGGGGAAACCCGTGGACCTGGAGGGGTGCCACCATTTAGTTATTCGATTGGGTTTGTTGCTTCTAGAATTCACCAAGATCTCTCCTTGGTTGCCACTTGATACAGGCTCTGGATCCCTCTGGGTTCTTTTGATTGAGGCGAAGCATTCTGCCCAGACTCATAGCACTTTGTGTAGAGTCTGTTCGAGTGGAGGGGGGATGATTCTGACACAAATGAGATTTGTACTGCACATAGGAGGTGTACACACAACAGGGTCTTCTTTCAGTTCTTCCACTTGGCGCACTTCTTGGACCAGGTGCCTTACAAACCTCCAAACAGGTTGTTGGACTCCTCAACCTCCGAACGCGAATTGCAGGGAGTACGGTTACGGAAGGTGCTGATCAGTCGGAATCAGAGCCGATGTGCAATGTGGAAGGTACTCCCAAGAGTGCCAGCTCTCCACCTGCCCAAGAGCTTCAATTTCTCCACACTCGGGAACGAGCGCTCCACCCAGGGAAGAAGACCCAGATCTTCATGCCAACACGCCGGAAGCCCAAGAAGCCTCCTGCACCTGGCAATTTATATAATGCTCGTATCCCTTCAGCGTGAACGGGTGAGTCAACACTGGTGAGAGGCGAAACCTTTCTGCCCTGATCAGGTGTTGAGAATGCAGCCCGTGAAAAAGAGCTTGTTTGAGCCTGGAGCAAGGTTTCGCTTCCTTTGTACCCCAAAATTTGCGGCTCGGACGAGACGGTGTTGGGAATTCCAATCTCCGCCTGGTTGCTTTCAGGTCCGGTGCTTCTGGTGGAAGGAACTGACGAATGGGCTTTGAGATGATTTTCAGTCCTGCCAAGATTGGTAATTCCGATCCGGTACACACAGCCCAGCACGACGGCCCTGTGGCCAGAAACTTGAGGTCCTGTGGTCTGCGGGCGGCAATTGATCAGCACCGCACCATCACCAAAACCTCTGTGCAGGCAGGGTAGATTGAGGAAAGCACAGAAACAGATAGACCACTCTTGTCTTGGCCTTTTCCATGGGTAGCCCCTCCACCAGTGGATCCCTTTCTCCGCATCGAGCCACCAAAAGACGGTCAGCACCGGCCGATGGTGGGATACGTTTTCCTACGTCGCAGGTGCAGCGGAATCAGCACCGGCTGCAGGGAACTCTGGAGTTCAACTCTTCCGAGTGGGCCAACCAGACTATCAAGGCAGGGGTGTATCTGAACTTGGACGATGAAGCTGAGATGGTGTCGGCATGTGTCAGCAATTTGGATCCTTTTAGAGCTGAGGAATTGAGATTTGTCCTGCAGCTACACCCTGACCTTTGACGGATCCCCTTTTGGGCAAAGGTGAACGTGTTAGCCTCCTTGGTGCTACCTGATGAGAAGGAAGTTGGGGTGCAGCTGCCGGGTTTGGAATCGCGGAGTTGTTGGGACGTTCGCACTCTGGGAACGAAAGTTGGTTCGAACGGTTTGACTGGCACTCAGCCTGGCATTCTGACGGAAAAGACACAAGATGATGGACATGCAAGATACGATAGTTGTTGTGAGTATACTATTTTCGGATGACATGGGATTCACACATTCCCAAGCCATCTGCCTTACCCCCTTGTGATAAATCCCATGTCATCAGGCAAAAGGAGCCCAAAACAAGAGATTGCAAAGCATCTCCAGATTGCCGATGCAACCCAATACAAAGCTGCTCTGCAAACGCTAACTCCCATGTCCTGTCATATGTGAAGGAAAACAAAACAGTTTTTCTCATTTGGGTCTCTCATTTCTTGTCATTGTGTTTGTCATTTATCACTTTCCTCTACATTGTACATTTTCTTTATATACTTTTCGTATCCTTTATCCTTTAATCCTCTATATGTTTTAGTTCCCCAAACAGTTTTATCTCTGATTGGCTCTTACTCCTTTCAAAGGGTTGCATGCCCGGGCTGCATGATTTTACCTTCGTCTCCGGGCTTGCGTTCCTACCACACTGCGATTGCTTTGGCCGCATGATGTTACAGTTGTCTCCCTGTGCACTTGTCGCCGACTTATCTCGCTTGTCTCCGGGTACACTCTGATTTTACACTTGTCTCCCGCTTGTCTCCCTTTTCTTCCTTGTCTCCAGTACACTCTGCTGCTCTGGCCACGTGATTTTGCACTTGTCTCCCCACACACCTGTCTCCCACTTAGCTCCTTGTCTCCACTACACTCTGGATGCTCTGCCCGGATGGTTTTACACTTGTCATCCCACTTGTCTTCCTGGTCTCCAGTACGCTCTGCTGCTCTGGCCGCGTGATTTTACATTTGTCTCCCACTTATCTCCTTGTCTCCAGTACACTCTCAGTACTCTGGCCGCATGAACTTTACACTTGTCTCCCACTTGTCCCCCTCGTCTCCCAGTCCGCCCTGTCCTCGGCTGATGTTTCCTCTGCCTACTCTGGATACACTTGGCCGGATGTTTTTACACTTATATATATATATCTCTCATCTCCACTTGTATCTTTGCTTTTTCTCCTTGCTTGCTTGCTTGCTTCAGACTACTCTGGATACACTTGGCCGGAGTTGTCTCTTGCCTGTCTCCAAGTTAGATTTAGTGACCTGCTGAAAGATAGAATATTTCTCATTCTAGAAAAACGAAGGAACACATATTTTCCTTTACACCCGCCAAGGGGTAGAATATTTGTTTAATAGAATATTCCCCAAAAGATATTCTCAAAGGTGTCCTACATGCCCCACTAAAGCGCCCCACGAGAGTGCCCCACAAGAGTGTCCCACAAGAAGAGTGTCCTACAAGAGTTACAAAAGTCTGGGACGAGAGTTTCGCGTGACAGTGTCCCACAAAAGAGTGTTGCGCAGCATTGTCCCACAAGTGTTTCATACAAGAATGTTTCACACAAGATTGTCACGCAAAAATGCTCCACAAGCGTGTCTCACAAAGGTGTCCCTACAAAAGAGCGCCCCCTGAGTTTCCCACGAGGGTGTCTCCTACAGTGCCCTGCAACCAGGGTGTCCCGCAAGAGAGTGTCGCGCAAGAGTAAGCGCTCGACAATAGTAATAAGCGTTCCCCGCAAGAGTGAGTGTCTGACAAGACTGTGCTACAAGAGTGTCTCTTACAAGAGTAGTCTGCAAGGGTGTCGCGCAAATGTGCTGCTTACAAGAGAGTCTTACAAGAGTGGCCCACAAGAGTGTCAAGCGGTGTTTGTTTGTTTTTTTATTTTTGTTTCTTATCCTGTCTCCCCCTGTCTCTGTGAAAATTCCCTACAAATCGGCACCATCGGCACCATATCGGATTCTTTTTTGCTGTCGGGAGGTGTGGATGGGCATGCGTGAGTGTCACAACTCCTATCTCATCCTGCTCTGCCTTTTGTCACCTAACCGTTAGGGCCCAACATTTTTTCATATGACATAGGACTTACCTACTCTCTTCCTTATGTCACTTGACGCCACAACTCCCATGTGATCTGCGCCCAGTATAATCTCTATGAATCAAGTCAAGTCTCTTTCACTTTGCAACATCTAGCCCTGCTTGAGCGCCAAGACTGCGCGTGCCATCATTTTAGACCCTCACTTCCTTCCGGTGCAGCTCTGGCAAATCAACACCTTTCTGGTATCTCTTGGTTGGATTGGGCATACATTTGCTGATGATGTCACCTATAATTACTTTTACACAGACATGTTTGAAGATGGCCTGCTGGTTGATTTGATGATCCCCTAGTCACGTCACTCGGCCAGCTTCAATCTTTGCTTGTTTTTCGTGAGGGTGAACGATGAACAGATATGAACAGCATCCCCATTGATGGAGAGCTTTCAAACTTGGATGCTTCAACCCATGCGACAACCCAAGTGACGGTGATGCCTGCATCTCCCTGGACAACAGCGGCAGTTGGGCCAGGTCAGCGGCTACTGCGCGGCGCGCATCGTGCCCAAGCAACTTCCGTGCGAGGCCTAAGAGACGACGTGAGACTCCTCAAGCAGTGGAGAGAAGGCGTCTTCGCCTCAAACACCCTTTCGTTGACCAAAGCCGTGGTTCTTGACGAGTCATGAAGTGTATATCGAAGAATTCAGTGATTGAAGGCCAGATGATGAGACCTCTATATAACTCCAACTCATCCCTAACTCGTATGAAGATGGACCTTTTCCGAGGGCAAGTGCCGGATCCCGAAACGATGCATCTATTCCTTATGCAGCTGCCTTGCTGGCTCGGAGGCCTAGGCCACCATTCGGCGGGGCTCAGGATGAGAAGAGAGATGACGTGTAAATTGTGATGTTGGTGTACACGTGCTCACCCATAATCTGGTGATGTGCACCAAAACAAGGGCCCTATGCATCACCGTCAATCAGAATCCCTCTACAAAGGCACATGGGTTTGCCCTTGCAACCTTCTCCAAGTTGATAGGCTATGGGTGCTTCTTCGTTTGCTTCGCTTCCAGGGTGCGTTTCGTTTTCATTCCGTTTTTACCATCGTTTGCGGTACTTTGCCATGGCCCCAACTCATGCTCTCTTTCAGACCCGGGGAGTGGACATCCAGTTTCCAAAAACAAACCAAAACAAACACATGCACTGTTGCACTACTTGCGACTTGGACCCTACTTGCTTTGGTGCAGACTTGGGAGTTGGGTGGCTGAACAGACGTGGCATCCGAGCGCTGGCCATTTGGGCGGCATGGCGCAGTCCGTTTGAGGCCTTGATTGTGATGCTGTGGTTGTTGAGCCGTGGCCGGGCCAAGGACCACCGTTGTTGGCCGTGGATTGATCGGCCAACCGGGTTTGCTCGATCCAACCGACTGTGGCAACCAACCCACTGGTGACAGTTGGCTGTAGTCGGTCACTAATTGACAGATGCAGATGTTCCCAACTGATCCTTCTCTGTTGGCTGAACCTCCTCAGGTCTCTGAGTGATCCATGCTTGTTCTACCACGGCTGAAGCCAGACACGAGGAGGCTCGCCAAGCGCCTCTGTCAGAGCACATCGAGATGGCCTACGACCTGCACGAGGTGAGAACACAGAACATCCGAATCCCGCGTGAGGGGCGGCTGAAGGTCTACTTTACTACTACAAAGACAGGAGGTCCCCAAATAAGAATCCTATCTAGCCTAGCCTTCAAATCTGAGTTGCGCTGTTTAGGACGAGTCATGGCACAAACTGAATCCTGTTGGACCCTGTTGGAGCTTTGATTCAAAGGACAGTCAATGAGTCTATGGAATGCTGGCTTGAAAGTTCCTTGAACCATTACAATTTTTTGGAACGCTTTTGCTCTGGGACTCGCAGAAAAGGATGCTGCAACACACCCTTCCACACCCTTCTCCTGCGAGGACGGCGCAAGTCGCCTTCTTGACCATTCAGGTTATGTGCCGCCCAGCGTGTGAGAAACGGCCCTTGCCCATGTGGTCGTGCGGGGTGCCACGTAAGGGAGACCGCAAAGCTTTATTGGATCCTTTTTCCATTGTATTTATCATGTCAGTTTACACTAGTCTATGAGAGTCCATCAGTCTTTCAGAGGCTATCCATCCAATCTAGAAAACATGCTCCAAAGCTTTTCATTGCCAACCGTGTTTGGCTCGGGAATTTTGGATCAAGATTTTTTCTCAAACAGTGTGGTGAAACTAGAGGTTCTCATTACGGTAACAGTTAAGGCTGGGTTTGATCAAGGGTCAAAGCAAGCGGCGGCTAACTCGATCTTCGAAGTGTGTTTCGACTGCGCAGATTCGCGCAAACTGCCTCCCCAGAACGGGTGCTTTCCTCCACTGTGCTCTTGTTGTGGTGCCGTGCACATTTTCAGACTTGGTGGTCACTTTTCGTGGCTGGAGCAAGGGAATCCTTGTGTTTCAGCAGTACATCCTTGTGAAGGCGCGTAACTCAAATAATCATGGCCCATGGTGGCTTTACACTCGATATACTCCAGGCCTTCAATCTAGTCCCTCGCCAAGTGGCCGAAAAGGATTTTAATCCACTGGGGGGCGCCATCAGAAGCAACTGCTTTTTGGATTAGGTCTTTAAATCACATGCCGCGTCTTGCAATCTAAAGGGGCCTGCGGTGCAACGGGCGCCCCATAAGGCGATGCTTTGTCTGTGCGCGCCATTGCGACAGTGTTCTTTCGTCGCGTGTCGACTGTTCTCGTGCGACCATGTACCCCTATGCAGACAAGTGGACTTTCATGTCATCAGGCCACAGGTCTTTGTTTGGAGCGCTTGGCACCTTGAATTTCACGACAGCCTTACAAATGAAAGTGACCTGAAGAAGTCAGGGGGATGGGGCGCTCATCAACCGATGCGAGAGTTCTGGAAAAACAACATCAGTGTCGAAGTGAAGTTGTTGTCCGAGTCTAAAGTGTATGGCGCGCTACTCCCAAGAAGGTTGTTCTTGGATGCCTTAAAGACTCCATGCTGGCTGCTACGCGTGCGCAAAGTACAACCGGCCATATGGCCTCATCCCTTTATTATCGTTGGTGACCCTCACCTCGTAACTTGAAGACGCTTAGCCGCTGATGCTCTGATTGGCCGAGGCAATGTGCATATTCATCAGACCAAGTCGAAGACGCTTTACTCTATGTGATCTTTTCTAGCCAGTGTGCACTGCTGTGCGCACTTTTTGCCAAATATGTGCGTGTGTCGCTGCCGCTGAGGGTTGTTTGCGCCAGATTCAGATGTCCATGGCACTGATGCCGCTGCAGGCCTTGTGTCAGCGGCTGCGTGTGCTTTGGAGCGTGGGCGCTGGTGCTGCTGCAGGGGGCCGCTGCAAGGTGCCGCCCACATGTCTGTGTCCTGTGTGCTTTGGAACTTGGGTGCTGGTGGGGTTGCTGCCAGATGTCTATGGGGTTTTGGAGCCTGCGTGTTGGTGTTGCTGCAGGCCGCATGTTTATGTTTTAAGGCAGTGCGCAATTTGGAGTGTGGGCGCTGGTGTTGTGCTGCCCGCAAATGTTTTTTGGCTGGGGTCTGTCCTGGCGTAATTTGTTTTTATTCGCGTGTGTCTGCTCTCTCATGTTTGCGCTATCACCCTGTTTACTCACACGTGTGTTCTCGTGTGTGTGTGTGTGTCAACTCCTGTTTCCAAGGATCTTGAGCGCGCTAAGGATTGGCACGGGGCCCGCGCATAACATCGCGACGCTGGCCAACGAAGCAGTCAGAGACGTCTGACTGTGTACCTGCCAAGTTTTCACAGTGTCCAAAGGGGGAATGAGCTGTTGTTCCAACTATTCTGTTCTCTGACCCAGCATTCTTGCCGCTGTGTGCGAGTCAAGGTCTGTTGTAATCAGTAACTGACGCACGGGGATGTCGCAACTGATAGAGCTCTTGTTAACAATGATCTAAGTGTGTCTCGCTGCATCGTCCCACTGTGGTATGCTGTGTGATCCCCGCCGAGGGGCGCGTTGAGCATAGACCCTGAAGGGGAAGTTGTCAGAGATTGCTCGTGCTGCGTGATAGTGATCGTCCATCTCCTGAACGGCCGCTTGCTCGAGATTGCTGACCGCATGCTGCAGGGCCCACTGAACTCCTCACAGAATGACATGCGCCATGCGTCTAAGTATTCATAGGATCATGTCATGCAGCTAAGTACTCGTAGGGCGTGCAGCTAACGTAACCGCATGATTTTTGTTTTTCTTCTTTAAGGTTCTCTTCGTTTTTAAGGTCTTCCTTCCTTGCTAAAGGCTTGTAGATATATTTGAGGCCTTTTAGTCAAGAGTGTGCCGGTTTCGGCTTTCTGGCCCGTACCTTTGGGCCAGTGCCTTTCAACCCAACCCCCCCCACACCCCTGCACGTTTTCTTTCTTTCCTTGCCGTTATCGTTTGTTTGGTCTTTCCTTCAGGCTTGTCAAGTCGGCTTTTTAGGCTCGTTTATTTAACCGCCGCTGGCGTGTTCCGCCGGCAGGGATGCAATGTATAATATGCTATAACAGTCTTCGGAGAAAGATACAGATCAGACAATATAACATAGGAGAAGGGATACAATGTATAATATAATAGAACATAGTAGAGAGGAGGGGGGAGGGGGGGGGTGAGCAAAAATCCGCGCGTAGGGGAAAGACTTACAACACAACAGGAACAGGAACATCCACAGAACACGCCGGCTACAGCCGGCGGAGTCAATGCATGCCCCTACACCCCCGCAGCCTTTCTTTCCTTACCTTCTTCGTTTTTTTTGCCTTTCTTTCAGGCTTGTTAGGTTGTCTCTTAGGTCTCAGGCTCGTTTAGTCAACGCACCCCCTCAGCCTCACCCCCCCTCCCCGCGCAGAAAAAGAGAGAGCGCCGACTCGGCTTTTTTTATTTTTATTTTGTGTGTGTGTCAACTCCTGTTTCCAAGGATCTCGACCACACGAAGGAATTCAAGTCAATTTGATTAATTGGCAGGGGGCCATCGCCTGACATCACGCCGCTGGCCAACGAAGCTAGTGATGTCATGGGAAGCAGTCAGAGACGTCTGACTGTGTACCTGCCAAGTTTTCATCCTGTCTAAAGGGGTAATGAGCTTTTGTTCCAACAATTCTGTTCTCTGATCCAGCATTGCGGGTCAAGGTTTAATGTAATCAGTAACTAACGAACGGGGTTGTCGCAACTGATAGAGCTCTTGCGAGCAATGATCTAAGTGTGTGTGTGTGTGAAGCCAGGTCTGCTCAACCTGGTGTACCTGCTTGTTTGAACTGTTGCCCAAGCTGTTACTCCAATTCTTCCTGTAAAGTGCTAGTGAGTTCTGCAGATGTGCACGACCGCCGTCACTTCGACCTGTTCGTCGTCTCGTGGCTTTGGAACTTTGGCCTTTAACTAAAGGCGCTCAGGCCCCTCACCTGGTTTTTCAGGATTTGGGTTTCTTAGGCTGGCGTGTGGCACCACTGTCAAGTCAGTACGCATATCCATAAGTGTGTCTCTCCCAGTGAGAGTCCGGGATGAGCCCGTAGAGTGCCTCCCGTGGACCCGTCGAACGGGTAGATGTACGTGCCCAGAGCGGGCGTAGGAGGCTTATGCCAAAGTTATTTGCCAAGATTTGCTGAACTATTGAATTCCAAGTTGGCTCATGCCTTTACGTGACCGCAGCGGTCAAAGCAGCCAGCCATTTTGGCAGGGCACAAGGTGACCACAGCGGTCACAGTACTTTTGAGGTTCGTTGGAACCTGTCCCACTCTCAGGCGCACACACAGCACGTACTTTCCAACGCGGCAGGTCCCTAGGTGCTTCTAATGAGGTTGGTTTCATCGGTTCTCGCCCCCTCCATTTGGTTCCCCTTTCATCCCTTTCCCTTCACACACCTTTTGTTTCCTCTTTTCTTTCATGTCCTCCTGTCTTCATGTTTGGTCATCTCATCCTTTTCTTCGTTTGCTTGCACATTGGTCCCGGCCTCAGTGTGTACGTGCACACTCCTACATACCTTTAAACAGAGGTTTCAGGTCGCCCAGGTCTTTACAATGAGGTGGGCTTCATCGGGTGTCCCTGTGCACTTGGTTCTCCTTCATTTCAACCACACACACACACCTTTGCCCCGTCTCGTCCTCTTGTCATGTCTTCATTCTTTTGTCTCTTGTGCGCGCACACGTGCACATTGGCCCTCACCTTAGCTTCATGCCTCCCCTCGGGGAGGCGTGTGTGTGTGTGTGTGCCCCTTGTAGTCACAGGGACTCTTTTGAATTGTTTTGTTTTGTTTTAAGCAGGGGGCATGCGGCCATCACGCAAACGCATGCCAACGAAGCTATGCGTGATGGTGGAAGCCAGGTCTGGTCAACCTTGCCCAAGCTGTTACTCCAATTCTTCCTGTAAAGTGCTAGTGAGTTCTGCAGATGTGCACGACCCCCGTCACTTCGACCTGTTCGTCGTCTCGTGGCTTTGGAACTTTGGCCTTTAACTAGAGGCGCTCAGGCCCCTCACCTGGTTTTTCAGGATTTGGGTTTCTTAGGCTGGCGTGGGGCACCGCTGTCAAGTCAGTACGCATATCCATAAGTGTGTGCCCAAGAGTGCGGAAATTGGTTTATTCAGCTTTGTTCTTCTTCTACTTAATACACTGCTTGGGGCCGGGATAGTAACCAACCTGCCATGGGCCAATGGAGGAGGCCTGCATTCTCCAATTGACTTCGACTGGTGGAATCTCCAGAGCCTCTCATCAGTTTACCAAAGGAATATTGGAGGGTTTTGTGAGTCTTGGCCAGGAGTATGGCTGGATTTGCAAAGCAGTGGTGCTCATTAGTTACTTTGGCTTGGCAGTACTTCTACTGGCCTTCTTGTGTTTTGGTTGCCCCGAAAAACGTCCAAAGGATCCAAAGATGGTGGGCAGCACGATGTTGACGGTGTACTTGGGAGCCGTCAACGGACTCTTGTACGTTGCCACCGACCAGTATATTCCAAGCTTGCCCCGCATGGAAGTGGAATTGTCCGGATCTGAGACAATTCTTTCTGGTTCGGTGCAGTTGAATCTCCTTTCCAAGGCTTTTGTAAGCCTTCTTGTGGCGCCCTTGTCCGATCAGATTGGAAGGAAACCCATCCTATTGACATGTGCAATACTGATGATCTTGGGGTCGTTTGGCTGTGCCCTGGCTCCGAATGTCTACTGGTTCATTTCTGCCAGAATCATTCAATCACTGGGCGAATCTCTTGAGCCTTTGACCTCTGCGATTGTTCGCGACTGCTACCCAGATCCGGGTGAAAGGCTGGCAGCCTTGTCAGTGGTTGGAGGAATGCTTATGCTTGGGACTGCTGTAGGGCCAGTTCTAGGAGGACTTGTTGCCTCTTTTTGTCATTGGAGAGTGCCCTTCTTTGTTTTGTCTCTGGCTTGGGCAGGATTGGCACACTATGCTGCCGTTTACATTCAGGAAACCGGCATTGATGTCAAATCTCCACCGAGCTACTGGTATAGTCTCAAGCGCGTGTTTTGCAATCAACAACTTTTGATGTTGCTCCTCGCTGAGTCTTGTATCCAGTGCGGGTATTTTACATTCAATGCCAACGCCAGCTATCTCACAGAAGCCGTTTACGGTAAGAGTACTGCAGCAACATCTGTTCTGATGGGGATGATGACCTTGTGCAGTGGCATAGGGCTGATGATTATTACGAGATCGACCAGGCCTGTGTTGTCAACTGCAAAGACATGGATGACAGCCTACAGTCTGGGAGCTGGCTTGTTGCTTGCGATTGCTGCTGTCTTTTGCCCTGACCACTTGTGGGCCTTCCTAGGCAGCTCCTTTTTGATGGGGTTCCTCTATCCTTGCTATGTGCCACTTACTGTTCTGTACCTTGACCCTGTTGAGGATATTGCAGGTACAGCCGCCTCTTTTGAAATCTTCTTTCAATCAGGGCCCTCTGCCGTCTAGTCAGGCTTAGCGACTCAAGGTCTCATCGGCGATGGTCAGCGGGGGCTGACGTGGTTTCAAGCTGGAAGCACTGTGCTTGCAGGAGCTGTGTTACGGCTGCCGAGGGAGAACGGAGCTGGCCGCAGAGGGTGTTTTCGAGGACCAGCTGGAGCAACCCAAATGAGCCATAACGGAAGAGTTCCTTGTGCTGCACCTCGCATGCTGATCCCTGATTTGTTAATGACACTGACCTGTCTGAGCTACTTTTGTGCTTCAGAACCCACAGAAAAGACAGCCGAACGGCACGCTCTACTGTGCACTAGTCTCCTTCTTGACCAGTCAGGTTGTATAGCGCCCGGCGTGTGTGAGAAAAGTACGAGGAGTTGGTGCGCGCGGACTGTGTGCCCTTTTGGAACAACATGCAGGTTAGTCGTCCTCAGTTACAGGCAAAGCAAGTAAGTAAGACCATAGTGGATCCATTTTCCTTTGCAGTTATCATGTCAGTCTACCGCCCTGCTCTATCAGAGCAATGCTCCAAAGCCTTGTCATTGCCAACCTGGCCTTTGGCTTTTGGCTCAGACAGACCCAAAGAACATCTTGCCCTTTGTTACTAGTAGTAATGCCAGCTACTAGCAGCTTCTTGCTCCTAGTAGCGATGCCCTTGTCACCAGTGGCTTTCTGTTTCTTCCCAAAAGCATTCTGCAAATAAGGTCTTTTGACATTTGTGGTGAATGTTCTGTCTGCTGCCTGGCTCGAATAGTGTGTTCATGCGGGACACTGCTTATGCAGTGTCACAAGTGCCGACAGGCACCTCCTGCGGAAGGAGACACCTGGTGTCTCAGCTGCGCTGGCTGGGAAGCTCTCGGAAGGGAGCTGTGCAGCCCCTGGCCGGCGGAGGGGGCGCGGAAGCTCGCTGCTGACCTTGTGGTGTCGTGCACCCGCCAGGTCAGGGGACTGCGCAACTACGCCCAGGCCGTGCGCAGCAATCAGCAGGCTGCCTCCCGCCGACGAGAAGCGGAAGAGCCTCCTCGCGAGAACGAACGGCCAAGCCTGAAAAGGCGCAAGCCTGAGCAGGTGGACAACGAGCTGGGAGCTGCAGCGAAGCGTCTTCCGGACGCAGCCAAGAAGGAGTTCTCCAGTTCGGGAGAATTTGAGGAGGAGTCTGAGGAGGAGGCCCCAGACAATACACTTGCCCCCCTGGCTGGCCGTGACGCCCGTCGACCGCCTGAGCCGGACGGGCCCCCGCCTTCGCACCGGAAGGAGGGCGACAATCGACGCGATCGACATCGAGGTCACCAAGGACACAAGGCACATCGAGGAGGTCAGCAGTTGGCGAACAAGGGATCAAAGCCGCGACACCGAGCCGGGCGAAAGCACCAACGGCTGGGTAGGCTAGAGTTCGATCCCACCGCAAAGGTACACAGAAAGCTTTCGAACCACTTCCTGGACACGCTCTCCACCGACGCAGGCAAGGAGTGTTTGGACAGGTTGCCATGAGCCGAAGGCCGCATTCAGAAGGCGAAGAATTCAATTTACACAATCTTGGGCAATGGTGTATGATTTCACCTCTACGAGGGGACGTGCTTTTTGTAGATCTTCAATCAACAGATTATCAGGTGGAAGCCGAAACCTGGGCTCCATTCTTGGTGTTGGAGGTTGCACTCCAACATTGTCCATGGAGGTGAAGTTCCTTGGAGGCTGTTCATCCGAGATCAACAAGGAGATGTCGGCTCGGTTCAACAGGAGGACAGGCCGTATTCACCTGTGCGGGACAACTCCGTGCCTAGAGGAAGAGGCTGGAAGTCTCCATGTCACAAGGTTTGTTTGGCATTCGCTCCATGGGGCAGAAGGCTGGCTGACAACAAGAGCCGTGCGCACTGCCACCAACTGGCTACAAGGAGCAAACGACACAGACGAGGGTGCAGGCCTGGAAGAACCAGGCCATTTGGTCGAGAATTTGGACGAGGAAGGTCGCAAGGAGTCGGGGAAGGAGCGCGCCGGTGTTCGCCGAAGCGCACTTCGACAGCCCCGAAAGGCTCACAAGAGCACAACGGAGGAGGCAGATGCCGCGTCCAAGGAGGTCAAGGAGGTCGAGAACACCCTGCAGCCTTTCAAGAAGAGCGCCGCTCGCCCTGCAGCCCCCAAGCCAGGTTCTGTCCCTGCAGCTTCCAAACCCACCGGCAATGGCGTTGGAAGTGGGCCTGGGTCCAAGGCGGCATTAGATCCAGCAAAGGTACAGAGGTTGAGAGAAGAGCTCAAAAAGTGAAGACAAAAGCTTGCAACTGGCGGCGGTCCAGACCCCTCCCCAGACGGAGAACTGGCTCCACCAACTCAGAAGGTTCGTCCTCTGCAGCGGAACGGAAGGGTCTGACAGCGGGGACTCTGATGGGAGCCGAGACCAGCCGGACCACCGCCAAGGCTATAAGAGATGGTACTACAGGGGACTATCGCGAACAGCTTATTCAGCGCGCGGCCGGCACCGCCGAGCCGACTCGCAAGGAGGGAGCTCTTCAAGACCCAAGAGGAGATCGAGGAGTTCTTCGAAGCGCAAGGCACACAAGAAGGACAAGGATCGCAAAAAGGACAAAGAAAAGAAGAAGAAGAAGGATCGAAAGTCAGGCAAGAAGAACTAGACGACGAGTGGCCCGAAAGCATTTTTCATCACGAAGGAAGTCAGACTGCGAGTTATCCGGTAAGTGTGCAGTGAGAAGTGTGAAGTCGAGTGAGTTGAGGTAGTGTGTGGGTTTCTGTGCGTGTGTCTATGTCCGTGTGGAAATGAGTCTGCGTATGTGTGTGTTCGTGTAAGTTGAGGGAGTGTGTGGGTGTCTGTGTGTGATGCGGCCTCCCAAACCCCCCACCGGTGGCCAAGCGGTGACAGCCCAGCTCATCGTCGTGAGCATTTGGGCTGCTGGTAAGGGGACAATGGCAGCCAGCGTGTTGGCTTGCCCACTTCAACTATGATGGCAGCCAGCGTGCTGGCTTACCCACTTCAACTATGATGGCAGCCAGCGTGCTGGCTTACCCACTTCAACTATGATGGTAGCCAGCGTGCTGGCTTTCCATCTGGACAATGGCAGCCAGCAAGCTGGCTTCCACTGCCTGTTGTCAAAGGCACGTGTTAGTTGTACTACCAAGTCGCCAGTTCTCATCTTCCAGCTCCCCAGCTACTCCGCGCACTACAGTTATACTACACCGTCGCCAGTTCGCAGCTACTACCCACTCGCCAGTTCTCATCTTCCCATTCCCCAGCTACTCTGCGTACTAAAGTTGTACTACCAAGTCGCCAGTTCTCATCTTCCCAGTCCCCAGCTACTCTGCGTAC